ATGTATGTATACTTTTAAAAGGGATTCCTGTAATATAAAATATGTTCAAGTTTGCGAACCTTTTAATACGAGTATGCATAGAACTAACGAAACATACGGCAAGGACATACTGACAAAATAATTAGCTAACATGAATTATGTTTAATGTCAAATTAAATTTGTATTTCTGCTACGGTCAATATGTATTAAGGGTATGTCTGTGTTTGCTGTTTAACACGATAAATGGTAAAATAGTTTATTTTGGGAACAAGTGCAACTAGATTTATCATATCTTTAAGAGACTTCAGACTTTCTAAATACATTTTATTAATAGCGTGCTTTTTCACCTAATGTTGTAGTTTTATATATATTTATAGTATATTATATATTATATGATGCGCGTGTATTCCACATTTATTCAACATAAATAAGGTAACAAACTCCTAAAATATTCAGTGTCTGTCTGCCCTAAATCATTAACATAATATTTAGGCGTATGGTCGACAACAATCGACACATAGCGCGAAGGCAACAACGCGTAGCGCGGGACAAGGTTGATGTTTTCATCAGTGTATAATAATAGTACGGAATTAGAGAGCTTACAACAAATACACGAATTCAGTGTACTAATATTAAAAAAGGAAGGCTTTGTTTACTTCCAGTCCTTAAACTGTTAAAATACTAAACCGATTTTTACTGAAAACCACTGGAACCCTATGTATTACAAAAAATATGTATCTAGTAAAACGTTAGGTAAGTATCAACAGGCAGTATTTCAAATAACTTTGTTATGTTAGTAAAATATACCAGTAAGCTTAGCAAACCAACGGCACATATACAAATATGACTACTCTAACACAGCATAACTAACTACCGACTGATTGCTTATTGCCCAGTCATTCACGATAGCTCTGGACCGTACCAACATATTGGCGCGTCAACCGTCCCCTGGGCAATACTTTATTGGATCGTTTCCAAGGAAAACTCAATTATGATGGAACAATGTGCAGAAATAACGCTAGAGTCCCGTAATGGAAGTTCGGTTGTTGTTGCCAAAGTAGAAAAGAAGCGGCGTGTCCAAGGCGTCGATTGAAATTTCGCTTTCAGGAAATTAATGAGTCCAAGCATCTGTGGATAGTAGTTTTAATGGTAAAGTGGTGTTTTTTGTTTATCATAGGCTTTACTAACGGTAATATATCAAAAACAAAATACTTTGCAACGAAGTGTTCTCAGGCTTAGGTTTCGTGTATTTTTTATATTTGTATGGAAATATTTTATGATTCTATCGTTATTCAGTCTTCATTTTCATGCCACAAGATGTAATCCTATGTAATCTTATGCAAAAGATGAATGCTATAGTCTCACAAAAAGTTTTATACCGCCATGTTCAGCAAGCTTAGGAATGATTAAAACTCGCGCGTTGCCCTTACCGCTACGTATTTTGGGGGAATTCAGAACAGGATAATTTTAAATTGTAGTGGTACTAGTATTTTTCCAAATTAAATTTTAAATAAAGCAAATATAGACTTATCATTTAATTGGTACCTCCTCAAATAAACTTATGTAGAACTGTAAGTATATGAATACCCATGGCAGAAATTCCGTGAGATACTAAATGATAGAATATACAATGATCAGGTGTTCTCTTACCAACATCATTTACATAATCAATTTCCCACGACATCTTCTACAATAAAATTAGCATTCAAATCGAGTCCCAAATATAATTTTAAATCAGCTGGACCGCTAGTGTAAACGTAGCCGGAATGAATTTTGCCTGGACCACCAATTACCGTTGTTTACAAGATATTTATTGAAGATTGCTACCGTTTGCTTACTTTACGCTTCATGGGTACAAAGCAATTAATTTAGTCCAATTTATGATTTTCAAACGCTAGTACAAAATCGATTATATAATCCTTTCTAAAAAAATACCAACAGTGTGTCGTTTCAGTAATTCCGTAAACATTTGTTGGCGTATCTTCGCACAGTGTTCTGTCTAGATCAAGCTACACAAAATGTGAATTTTTTTTTTTACCTTTTTAGACCGGTACTAATTAAATACGTTATATTAAAACGAATAAAGCTATTTTCATCCGTATACTAGCTTTTCCTCCGAGGTTTTTCTGCTTTTACATATTGTGTTCTATTTTGCCATTTTAGATTATAGCCTTAGTCTGTGTACGACGAATCCCACTTCCTTTTAGTGTACCCAAAAGGAAGTGGGATTCGTCGCTTATATTTATTGAAAGTAGTACGGTCAAGGTCGCTTCAAAGCGAAAATGCTATTAAAGAAGCAAGAATACAAAAAACGTATATATTTTTATTTCACGTAATACTCTTTTGCAACATACATCTCTATACTATTTTACAACTTAAAAACTAGTAGATTACTAAATGAATAAAAAATGGTAGATCAATGGTAGGACGCATATTCATCATGCACTTTCTTCATAGATATCTTCCTAATTTGTTTAAAGGCATTTGTTGTATAGCCAGTGTCAGTATATAAGGCCAATGCCTCATCACCATTAATTTAATCGCATCTTGCTGTGTTGTTTGTGTTGTGTTCTTGTTCTTGAGTTAGTTGGAGCATGTTCAGTAATTACTTTGGCAACCTTTTATTTGTCCAGTAAACCACGGCACGTCTAATTCGGCAGCAGTCATGAGCTTTTCAGCAATGCGAGATTTTGTTAAATCTCCCACCTTACTATTTGTTTTTAAAGATGAATCCTCGAAGTCTTTTCGAGGTCTGCCGACTTTTGTTGATTCTTGTGATGTTGAAGGTTTTGGCTGCTGGCTAATTACTTGAAACTTAATTTCCTCACTTTCTAACCACTCCTTATTTTTGGCCATAAATAGTTCTTTTGATTTTCCAAAAACACGGACTTTCCTTTCATTCTTATCATGTTTCAACCATTCTTCAATTCATTCGATTTTTGAAATAGAACATTAATTACTTTAATTGCACGAACTCATTACCTCGTATTGCAACCCTATGACTCTTCATTTTCGAATATTACACGTAAACAATTCTCGGAATTACAGGTTTTAGGGTGTTGTTTACTTGAATTAACTACCTGTTTCCGGGAATCTGAAAGTGGCTTTTGTCCACCTGGTTTGTTTTAGACGTAATACTGTGCGTCGCCGACTTAAAAAAATTATACTCGTAGAAGTTCTTTTAGATTAATTTAATCGAATCCAACATTTTTTATACCATACGATGGTTAAATTGTTAGATGGGAATATAATAATATTTTAATAGATAGTATTTTAAACATATAAAAGTATACATGATGTTTAAGCATTTTCTCAGTTTCATGAAAATATAAACAAAATATTCTTGACGTGTCGTGAGGTGGGTGTCGTAAAAGTCGACTAATAGGTATAGGTACTAATAGGTAATAAGGTAGTCAGTGGTAAGTAGTAGTTCAAAACCTCCTTTCTAAGGAGAGGTCTATGTCCAGCAGTGGGCTATTAATGGCTGTTGATGATAATTATGATTTTTGAGGTACGCTCTTGAAGTGAATTCCATTAGCATTTTACATTATTGAATTAAAGTGTTCTAGAGGAGTTTATTTATAAGCTATGGTTGATGTCAGACAGACATCGTTTAAATGTTCATATCACTTTGAACGAAATTCTGTTAAGGTATCTGTTTCTATTATTTTTGCAAGAACTTTATGTTTAAAGTTTGAAACCAACAACATAAAAGACTAACTAACCTTTGTATAGTTGTACAGGTCGTAAAAATTTCGTATGGCATTAATGGCCAGTATATTAACACATGTGGTGGGTTGTATAGGGAATGATCATAGCAGGCGTAGTTCTATTGCAGTCGTGTGACTATTTCTACGCGTCTGCGTACCGACCGGGCTCTTCTCAGAGCCAGACACTTTAATGTTTTATTGGTACAATACCCTCGGGTCGACATCGTCCGCGGCGAATCATACTGAGAAGGAAGTCCCTGTCTCTGTCTGTTTGTTGAGCTAAGCTAATGCTGTTGCCCAATCCAATCGTTCTAAAATTAATTTAAATGCTATTACCATTTTTTATTTCATTTCTGGGCACTTGTAGTTCGCACTTTGCACTAGGACATCTTTAGGATACGATTAAAAGGAAGTTCTTGATTCGACTACAAAAATAATTACATGTCAACGTGTAAACGATATTTTATTCTTAGTCAAGACTAAAATTCATAATATTATATTTCATGAATTTACTCATAAATATTTTCCCATAGATACCTTATTGAAAACGTACAAGCGCTTGAAAATATTAATATCAATAAAAAAATATAAATATTATTATCAATTAAATAAATTGTTGTTATTGTGTATACTTTCAGATAAATATGACTTAGCATAAAGATTTGCGAATGTTTTTTTAATTAGAATATACAATTTTGAACTCGAATTGCATAACAAGAGAATGAGTTTGTGTTAGAGGCGAGACTTTGCGGTTCTGTTGAGTTCATACTTTGCTAGTTCCAAATTATGTAAACTTTGTTTGTCTTTAAATAAGCGAACGGACGGAGGAGCATCTGCATTTCATAGAGCACAACTGCAATTTTCTTTAACTATAATCTTTATTAAATGCAGTCCACTGATCTAAAATAAAGGTTTCATATAATTCCATCATAATATGTACCAGAGTTTAGTCTTAGGATTTAACGTTTTAACCCTGTTATGGACCAGAAAATATGTTACAGTAACCGCTTATAGTCAATCGAAGTTAAAGTATCTCCTTCGGTTCTTATTTGTGAAAGTTATAACACATTATCAATTCTTAAGATGCTATCAACACTTAGAATATCTGCAGATATCGGTTGGTCAGCCACATTTTTATGAACATAATAAAATCAACAAGTTCCTTAACATAACTATTTATAACAATATACTTTACTGTTTTAGTGAGAAATACCTTTGTTAGTTTATTTTTGTTAAAGTGATATCAACCTAAACTATAAATTAATTGGATACATTCCCAAAATAAACACTGAAATCGCATTCATTTTTCAGGTACTTTTAGTGCATGAAGCATCCAAGGGCAGTTTCTCTAGAGTTTTCGACTTAGAGGCAGGAGACGACACCGACCCGGGGACACCAAGAACATCTCCTTACGAGAGTCGATTTCCAATCAACATTGGAATTACCGGTTATGTGGCTACTACAGGCGAGGTAAGTCCCATTTATTTTATTATACCTAGTTCTAGTTTTATCGTTGATATAGTACCGTACTTGTATAATTAATAGGGAAAATTAAGAATTAATTTGTTAAATTGTTTAGTGCTAATATGAGTATGTAAAGAAATGTGTTTCTGACAGTTATATGGTATTAATCGGTTTAATCTATAAGAAACACAAATTATTATAATAATTCCTTTCGCTTTTATTTTAAATTGCTTAACGTTTCATCATCATTTTCAACAGCTTTTAATAGTCCACTGCTCTCCATAGGCCTCTACTTACAAAGGAGGTTTTGGCCTACTATACCACGACAGGCCAGACGAGTTAGTAAAGGATTTGTGTAAAATTTTCCTTCTTTTTGCAGAGCTGTTGTCTTGTGTAGTTTGCTCTATTAATCAGCTAATATTCACATATTCATACTATTAATAATATTCATTATAATTGTTCAAAGAAAAGAATAAATAAAAACAGAAAAGTATCAAAATTGAATCACGCCATCTTTGTTTACGCGTTAATTTATATATTCCTTACAGAGCATTGAAAATGTGAAGTTCAGTTAAACTTACTGGTAAATAAAATAATGTCTCTGACTTATTAAAATAACCAAATAGCTTTTGCTAAATTCTATTAATTTCCTACTAATTGTAAATCTTCCATTCCGTTAAACGATAGTATAATACAACTAAATAAAATAATACCGAAGCGTTCATAAGTATATCTGTATAATTTGTCTTAATATATATATGTCATATGTAGCATAGGAGAAAACCAAAGTTAAATTTCGTATGTATTGGTATTTTTTTTTCTGCATAAATTTAGTCAGTTCATAGTAGACCGCCAACAAAATTCTAGGTATAAGTGGTTACTTGCTATTCATTTTCATTATGTAAAAAGTTACATAATGAAAATGAATACAGCCCAATCGTCAATAATCCTCGGCTTTCATGCTTCTACATTTATCAATAAAACGGTAAGGACTGAGTTCAAAAAAAGTTTAATCTCGTTCATAAAAGATCAAATTATTATTGTGCAATTTCCTCTATAATTTTTAGTGTTAGCTTTTGTATACAATTTAATAATTCTCTTCTTTAATCATTTATTATTATGATATATATTCCATAAAGGTAATTTCATATTTTCTTTAATTAAATATTATCAATACCATTTAGGAAGATTAAGCAAATGCCACAGAGAGTTTTTTGTTAATTAACAAATTGTAACAATGACAGTTTATTAACTAGACACCATAAAAGATGAGATAATATTATTATTAAATGAAGTTGCCAGCTCCTCAAAATAAACAGATATCAAGTCTGTATGATGTACTTTAAAGGAAAATACTTAAACAAATGAAGCGAACCTTTGATGTTTTTAATTTTAGTGCGAAGAAACAAAGTTAGTTAACGATTTGGAATACCTGGTGCTCTTTAATTGTAGGTGAACTTAGGTTCTGAACTTATTTTGTGTTGTAAAAATTTACTTTCAACGTGGGTTACGTTGAAAGTAAATTTTTTCTCAGTTCTAAAGTTAAACCGCAGTCCAGACTTATATTCAATTGGATTATGTAGCATTCCCGAAGTTTTCTTAAGTACTATACGTATTCAGGCTAATTTTATATAAAAAAATATCATACCAAAGGGTAAAGATATAGTTAACCTTTTTATGTAGGCAGTAAATTTCTGTATAAGGAATAGTGATAAAAAGTCTAAATATAATATGTATTCTGAGATTTTGTTCTTTTTTTTAGACGGTGAACATTGCAGAAGCCTATTTAGATCCTCGGTTTGATGCGTCTGTCGATGAAGGTACCGGATTTAAACACAACACAATACTCTGCATGGCTATTAAGAATTCCGAAGGGAGGATTATCGGCGTTATCCAGGTAAGCGAGAAATTTTCCAGAACGATTTTCCTTTACCTTTTAGATTAACAATGTAAATTCGTTTGAGAATTTTATATTCATTTAATTAACTATGGATCTACCTAAATTTAGGTAATTGGCTTCTTGAAAATAGCCTTGTCGTTCTATTATCTGAACAGTATAATTTGCCAAGTTTTTCAAGGAGACATAATGAAAATTTCAAGGCATTAATGTCAACCACAATTGACAGTAACGCTTGTTTAGAGACTAGAATTTGCGCATTGCGGTTCTGTGCGCAGCTTTTTAATATGAAATGTATATTATAAATTCAAAAATATTTGAGGTAGAGCCTATGTAAAGCACCGAACTTTTCACTAATTAACTGCATATAAATGTGTCTGCTAACAGCGGTTTAAATAGTGGATTTGAAATTTTCGCCACTTTGCAGTGTTCATATGTATATTATTTCATTCAATAATAATGAAACATTAGGATTTCAGATAACAAAAACCATAATGGTGTGATAATAATTTTGGTTCAATTTACATATACCTAGTGGTAGCATACGATAAAAAGTAAAAACGACAATGTTGATATATTCGAGAGGACTTCTTCCTGTTGGCCACCTCTCTATTAATGAGGAAATTAAAACGGATCCGTATCAATTAATCATATTTATTATAAAGTTAACGATAATCTGTAAAAAAACACATTTAACATTTTGCGCAATGCGACAGATACCTATCCTATTTGAGCATAAATGAAATGACTTATAACTTGCATTTCGTTTTGTTTCTCCTGTTTTACAATAAATACAAATTCATTCAATTGTTTAAGGCGTTATTTTACAGCGTTATTTTTTTAAAACTAAAAGCGGTTATCTTAACCACGAATACTATTAAAAGATCAACGACATGGTGTACGATACGTCATTTTTTTAATCAGCCTATACAGCCATTCAGAGATTCAATTTATATTTTATTCAATGAGCACTGGTAACGTTGGATTTTTGTGGACTCCGCCACATTGACAGTTGGTTCACGCCAGGAGTTTATTTTGTGGGATTTCGTTGATTGTAATTTTAAGTATATTACAATACAAACAGAGATTACAGAAATCCAGGAAATAAACTCTAAAGGAATAAAGTCTATGCTGACGTGTAACTGGATGACACAGATAAATTGCTTCAGAGGTTACTAGCTACCAGCATCGTTAGGACCATGAGAACAATTCACCTCGATTTGTGGGCTATTCAAAATGGTTTCCGAAGGACGCTTTCGACATTTGATACTTTAATCCCCCAAAAGATCGTTACAACAAGCAATAAATAATACTACTGTATTACACTGTGATAGCTTGCTTTAGACAGCGTATTCAGATAAGGAGTTAAATGGTTTAAGAATCTAATAGGATGTGTATATATTTAAATATATACATCCTATTAGATTCCTAAAGCATTATTATCATTTATTAATATATTTATTTATATATATTTCTATCTCCGATCGACTCGATTCGTTGGCGTTACGTAGAGATGTGGCTTCACTCTGCATTCTCTATCGCATATATTATGGAGAGTGCTCCGATAAATTGTTCAGACTAATAGCAACCGCAACTATCCGCCATCGTCGTCATCCACTACTGTGCGCTTTTCGAGACACTTTTTGCCCCGCCCAACCAATCTGTGGAACGGGTTATCGTCTGCGGCATTTCCTTCAAACCTTCAAGAAAAGAGCGTACTCCTTCCTAAAAGGCCGGCAACTCGTTTTTGACTCCTTTTTTTTGTCTGTGCGGAAATCCCTTCGGATACCACCGGTGGTTATGACGGACATGAACCGACCAAAAACCGCTTGCCGTCTCGGGTAGTAGGCAGTAGAGGGGAACCAGGTGTACCCTAGGTAGGAAATCCCTGGAACCCCGACGGACCCCGCGCCATCCACGACCTGTAGATGACCCCCTTCTGTGTGGGAACCCCTATGTTTTTGACTCCTGACTTGCAGACGTTCATTGGCGGCGATGGTCACTTTCCATCAGGTTACCCGTCTGCTCATCTGCCTCCTCTAACATAAAAAGAAATATGGGATTCATAGCCGTCTTATAAAAAAAATTATCTTAACATCCTTATCAGCTCAGTTTCATAAACTGAGAGAGAGCTTTAAAGTGTTTTCTCATTATTTATTTCATTCTTTACGCAATTTATTTTACATTAAAAAATAAATCGGGCAGTTTTAGAAAAATTTGTTTCCCGAGTATCTCGAGGGAGACGTCATGAAAACTTTGACTTAATCTTAATTTCGTTACTACAATACTTTCTTAATAAACTTTGTTGATGAACTAAATTACCTTTACTTGGAAGTCTCCAAGCCTCCAAGTCCTCTTGCTCAAGTCACCTTCGTTAATATCATAAAATATTAAGGTAAATTTTTAAAATATTTATTTATCATGACATATTCGTCGTGCGGCAAATTAATAAAAAGTTCATAAGATATAAATTTGACATAAAGTTCGTCTCAACAGATTACGGACTTTAAAGGATTTGAAAACAAAACTTTAGAACCAATATGTAAATGTTGTTGTTGTGTTTTATTAAATTGGCTTTATTTAGTCAAAATCATTGTAAGCTCAGTAATACATAATTATATTTTAGAAAAATTTTAAAACACGCTTTTATGGAGAACCATCAGACCGTCGTTACCAAGCCTAATCTGTTGAACTCTTCAAAATAATTTATGAGTCCAAACTCGGAACATTTTTTGGTAGCAATCGAATAGTTCTACAATTTGTCTGCTGACTCCAACAGACATGGGTCTCAATGAGACATTTTGATTTTATCATCTTAAGTACATATCGTAACAATACCATCATTTGTAATTAAATGTACAAAGTTTCACTTCCTTAATATAATTAGAAGTACTGGAAACATTTATATTAGATTTTAGGAAGAAGACTTCGAAAATTTGTTATATACGAACGAATTTATATATCCACTTACATATGTCGCAAAACATTAAGCAAAACGTAGTAATGGGATATACAGCAAGAGATTGAGAACTATCTGCAATGATCACCTAAATTAACAGACATGGACTATAGTTAATATATGTATAATAATTTCACGACATTTACAATGAATTTTGTCACAATTACCTGTAACGATAAGACAAAGTTACAGTCTAAGCTTTGACAAGCTGCCAATTCTGTTCTATTCAAATGGACACAAAATCAATTTACTATACCTACTTTGCAGTTTTTCGAGGTTACTGCTTAACATACAACTGAACACAGTTCAGTGCTGACTTATCTTTTTTAAAGGCTAACGTTTGTATATGCCTATGGGGACTGAGATGTACACAATGACATTTCCAAATCATGTAATAGGTTCACCGGACTTACTCTGATTCTCTGAATTTTGTTTCTGTAAAATTTCAATCTAGCTTTCTTTCTTTATTTGAACTTAACAAAGCCATTTCTTTTATAAAATGTTAATGATGATAAAATCAGAAAACTGTGCATATATATATATATATATATCTTGTTTTTGAAACATTCAAGACTCTTTGTTGCATTAGACAAGATTTAAGTTTTTCTGCGTACGTTGTTCTAAAAAATGATGTTTTGTTCCAGCTTGTTAACAAATTTGATGAACTGCTTTTCACAAAGAACGATGAGAACTTCGTGGAGGCGTTCGCGATATTCTGCGGAATGGGCATACACAACACACATATGTATGAAAAGGCGATAACCGCCATGGCCAAGCAAAGCGTTACGTTGGACGTGAGTAAATACAACCTTCTTGACGACAAATTGCTAATACAATCATAGCAAGACTAATCTTGAGGAACATAAATTGTTCTGATAGCTCAAGACAACTAAAAATATATTATATCCATAGAGATTTACTCAAACTACAGACGAAAGAAATATTTACAGTTTACGCGTACGAATATTAAATATATAAATGCAATATAAATTTGGATAATTTTACATTTTAACTCAAACTATCATAAATTGTGCATCAACACATTTATTTTTCACTCCAGCGAAGCCGCAGATATAAAACTAGTTTGATATGATAGGGTATATAACAATTGATTCTCAATATGTAACATTAATCGTACAATATTTTTTTTGTTATTACAGGTACTAAGTTACCATGCTTCTGCATCATTAGACGACGCTCAACGGTTACGGGTGAGTTTACTTTAAATGAATATTAGTTTATTAAACCCTTAATTACGAAAACTTAACGGTAATGAACTGAGAAATTTTGCCTAAAACTGAAATTTGATGTTTAATGTTGCGTTAGCTGATGCTCTACGAAACTAAATAGCTATTTGAAAATGTTATTACTATCGGATAATATAATATTACTCTGACTGATGACTTGGCTGAATTTCTGAAATTACCTCAGAAAACAGATTTTTGACCAGACCTGTGTATAAATGTGGTTATTTGATTTTTGGACTCGTAAACCTAAAAAAAATATCCGTAACCGAAATGTTTAGTCTTCATAAGCAATACAAAGAATGCACTTAACTACAAATAATTGACCTATTTCGAGTTCAAATAATTCTGTTAACTATATCGAAAGGCCTGTGGCCATTGCTTCCTTCGTTATTTTGTAATTTGAATCTTACCGATATGGAAAATTACACAATCCCTCACCGGTAACCCCTAACACTTTATTATATAAATTATCTCTTCTTTACAGACATTAAGGATACCCTCGTCAGCTCACTTCAGTCTCCATGAGCTGGAGTTCGATGATATAGATCTAACCGATGACGATACATTACGTGCCTGCCTCCGAATGTTTCTTGATCTCGATTTTGTAGAGCGGTTCCATATAGATTACAGTGTACTCTGTAGGTGGCTGTTGAGTGTCAAGAAGAATTACCGCAATGTAACTTATCACAATTGGAGGCACGCGTTCAATGTCGCACAGATGATGTTCGCTATTCTGACAGTGAGTATATAAGAGTCTATGGAAACGTAACTTAAACATTTTAGGAGTATGCATTACTTTAACTAGGTTTTGAGAGTAACACAGAAAGCAATAACTTAAAAAGCATATGTCAAAGTAATCTAATTTTAAGGGTTTACGTGTAAAATATTACTCTAGAAATATAGCATAAACTTACAAACATTGTAAAGGAGGCCTGATGTTTAGTGGCTGAATGGCTGCCGATGTTTTTAAATAAAAAATATATAATTATCTTCTTCTTCCTCTCCTCATTCCATTATTTGGGGTCGAGTCTCCTCACTTCCTGCTCCAGTCTAATGATCTTGGGTTGTCGTGGGTTGACTGGCTTTCTTGAGGTCTCTCTTAATGTTGCTCAACCAGGTCAACAGCCGGTGGCCTCCCCCTCGCTTTTGTTTTGGGAGGTTTAATGCGGTGCGAACAGCGAAGGCTGGGAATATAGGGCACATTCGTTTCTTAGGGTCGACGCCAATTTTTCTGTCAATACTAATATAATGAAGAGGCAACGTTTGTATGTTCAAGGTAATCTCAGGAACTACACATTAAAATACAATTGAAAAAGTATTTTAATGTTGGATAGTCATTTTATCGAGGAAGGATATAGGCTATCATCACGGTACGACTAGTAGGAGCCGAGTATCAGTGTTTTTTTTTTTGCGAAAACATCGAAAACTTATTCATTTTGAGAGAAGCAGATGAAGCTGGTTATTTAATAGAACAGATTTAGAACCACACTAGTCTTCCTTGTCACTTATTTATGGGCCAATATAAATATAATACAGGGACTAACTTTTATATGAGAAAGGTGTATTACTTAACACAGTATTATTGTAGTTGTCCGTCGCATTATTTCAGGAGACGCAGTGGTGGAAGATATTCGGTGAATTAGAATGTTTGGCGTTAATCATCGGTTGCCTGTGTCACGACCTTGATCATCGAGGGACCAATAACTCGTTTCAAATCAAGTAAGCACGTTTATATTTACTGTTCAGATGTTTATAGCGCTCATTAAGTAAGGACCGAAGGACTTTTATTGTTTAGTAATAAAAGTCCTTCGGTCTCTGGCAATAAGAATGTTTCTCTCTTGCTGTAGAATTGATTGTAAACCGTGTTACATCAGAAGCGCGATGCCTTAAAGGTTAGACCACCAACGGCAATATTCTAAAATTTTATGAAGTGTGTCCTAACATGTCGCACATTTTTGCGTACATTTAAACATAAAGTTGGTGGCCAACTGCAGTCACCTAAGGGCACATGACCGGGCTGGCTACATCCTAGTCGTCCAATAAACAGACAGCAGTCACCAAAGCCGAAATCGACAAGGTAGAGATATATTGATTGTAACTAGTAGGAGTGCCAGCTCACCTTGCTTAAAAAGACTGGCAACGCGCCAGTGATACGTCTGCACTAGTGTGTCGCGTAATATAGGTACCGTTAACCGATGATCAGACAAACGGTGTGCATATTTACAAACAAGTAAATTATAGTAGGTCAATAGTAGATACGAATAAGTACATAGTCCTTTAGTTTTCTATACCTATCTAAAAAAAGATCAAAAACATTATCGGTGATTAAATGACTAATTTTGACACTGTTACTATAAAATGTTGATGCCCTTTCCAATCATAAAGTTATGACAAATCTCTTAGTCCACCTCTCCTTACAGTACAATTTTTGAAAATAATAGACCCTTTTCAAATACGTTACGTACTTAAATTTTTCCAGGGCATCGTCACCACTGGCACAGCTGTACTCCACATCGACAATGGAACATCACCATTTCGACCAATGCCTGATGATTCTCAACTCTCCCGGAAACCAGATACTTCTCAATCTTTCGTCTGATGACTACGAGAAGGTAGTCAAGGTGTTGGAAGATGCTATCCTATCCACCGATTTGGCTGTTTATTTCAGGTACTTACTGCTATTTTATAGCCACATTCAACCCATTTTTTATGATACATTTTATGTACCTTTTTTTATTCTAATTGGCATTTAATGAAATCACCTATTTATTTAAAAATAAGTAAGTAGAAACAATTTAAACACTCACGCCTAAATCTTGAAAAGAAAGATAAGGTAAAAAAACACATAGGAATAGAAGGAAAAGTAACAATTGTAGTAGATTTAGAAGATAAATAGACTAGTTTCGGGTTGTTGGGGGTTGAGATACCGGATTTGAACTTTTTTAAAGATGTTGAACATGTAGTGTGGAGTTCGGGTCGTTCGGGTTCGAAATTAGTTTTTATCCAAGTTAAATTATTTGTTTATAAAGTCAACATTAAATCAAACATTAGAAAAAAATAACAAAACAAAAAACGATGAATTATGTTACCGTTAATAATTCAAATATCGCGTTTTAATACTTAGATATATTATTTCGTTTGGTAAAGTGAAGTCACGAAGCTTTAATTAACGGACGGTATGTATATAATTAATGGATGTAAGGGTTCATAGAACAGAACGGTGACTTCGTGAAAAACTGTTATGAATCGTCGCTACCACTGTTTAAACTTCACGTCAAAAATGACCCCTTTAGTGATGAGTGTTACATGTGGTGTTTATTCCAGCAAGCGCAAGGCGTTCATCGAGTTGGTGAGCGCGGGCGCGACTGGCGCGGGTAGCGCGGACGGCGCGGGGGGCGCGGGGGGCGCGGGGGGCGCGGCGGGCGCGATGAGCGCGTGGGGCGCGTGCGACGAGCGGCGCGGGCTGCTGCGCGCCATGCTCATGACGGTGTGCGACCTCGCCGCCATCACCAAGCCCTGGCCCGTCGAGCGCCGCGTGGCCGCGCTCGTCGCCGGCGAGTTCTTCCGCCAGGGCGACCTCGAGCGGCAGAACCTGAACCTCACCCCCATCGTGAGTGCTCCTTCACACTATACTTGTAAACGAGATGATTCATTTCAGAATTAACATTTAAAATAACCGTTTTAACGATTCTGATTTTGGCTAAAGACGCATGGACTTTTGTCTATTCTGGTCTGGAGATTTTGTATATAGAAAATTATAGGTTGAATCGCCACCTTATTAAAACTTTCGATTAGGATATAGGGAAACTCATTAAAACTTTCGATTAGGATTCAATTATTGTTGAATTCTAAAATTTTAATTGTAAAATACTCTGTATTTGAAATAAATGATTCCTTATAAACGACCTAAGCGCATACTCTTCTAACGCTCTTAATTCTCTAATAGTATTAATTTCTTCAGAAATACGAGAAAAGAAGAGTAGGCTTTATGTTAAGGGATTTTCAACATAACATACACACAATTCTGTATTTGATTAAATAAAAAACATGTTTCTTTTTTTTAGGATATTATGAACAGAGACAAGGAAGACGAACTGCCTGCTATGCAAGTAAAGTTTATTGACACCATCTGCCTGCCAATATACGAGGTTAATATCACGTTACAAATATTGTCTTAACTGATTAAATCTTGATCTAAATGTTGGTCTATGGAAAATACAAAAAACATGAAAAAAATTCTGTATATTTTACAGGCATTTGCAGTTCTATCTCCCGCCCTCCAACCGATGCTGGACAGGGTGAAATCCAATCGTGCGCACTGGATCGATCTATCCGACAACGACAAGAACGGCGACGACAAAATAGAGTACAATCTGGACAAGGAGCTCCCTGAAAAGAACGACAAGTCAAGCATCAGCTCCCAGAACGTCGATGACACGGAAAATACGTACGAAGGAGATAGCAGCGGAGCGGTGAGTTTGTCTTCGGAGACGAATTCTAAATACGAAAATCTCGAGAACCCAGTCGTCGGGCTTCTCTGTAACAATGTCCTCGCTTTGCGAGATCCCAGCAAGTTTTGTCATCTAAACGACTACTAAACTTGACTTAATTGTGATAATGTGAAGCGGCGTGTAAGTGCCACGTTTCAAAGGCCAATTCGAGCCAAGCCAAATCGTCCAATTAGGATGTTAGCTTTAAGATACTTTTAAGTTTTAAGTATCTAGCACAACTAACATTTGAAATTTCATTCGATTTGCTAATTTTATTGCATTTTGGAAACATCGTTCATGTATAATATATTCACATGGGTTATTTTTCTATTGGTGGACTTGAAATGTTGGTCCAGTACGTGATATATATACATACTACGTACGTGCACTTGGCGAGTTACAACTGATAGTTGTGTGATATTCGTTTAGTAAATAGATGATTTAGTCGAATTTGAAATTTATCTAAACGCAAGGCGTAAATATTCGATAAGTGGTCATGACCATCGCCGCACTATTTTTATACACTTCCTTATTTAATATTACATTTTAAGTACCTGTAAGAGAAAATTTACAAGTAGATAATGTATTTTTCTAATTTACCTCAGTCGTCTATTCCTACTACGTATTACATGAAGTTTTTCGTGTGTCGCTTGTTTTAGTATCATTTAAGATACTTTTTACAGCTATATGAAATATTCAATTTCTCATAGAAAAATAAATATTTCGTTTATTAAAATACTCTATTTGCCGCTAACTGCAGTAATAAGTGTTATAAACAGGGCCTAACTGTCGTGACGTAGTTGTATGACCAAAATACCAAAAAGTTTTTATGTAGTACTAAAATCATTATCGTGTTGTATTGTTCGGTTTTGTCATTAATTCTCTCGTATGAAAATTAATTATTACGAGTTGTATTAGTAAAGTAACGGTCGGTCTGTGTTGATGTGAGTGTGTTTCGAACATTATGTGTAATAAATTTGTTTACGTATTGTAATGTTGTACTTTCAGTCGCACAACGTAATTTTTGTAAATAATTAATCAATGTTATAAATACTATACTAACAATGTTGTAATTTTGGTAAGTACTTATTATAAATTCGGGTTTTCTCTATTAATTATTCATCGTTTGGTTATATTTATAGTTCGTCTGCTTGTAGGAATCGTGGCCTCGCATTAATTATTTTTCGAGACAGTTACGGCACCCACTGATCCATTCCAATATTAGTTTGAACTTAAAATAGTCTGCAATCGTTTGTGTCGTCCTGTAACGTTATGTAACTAAATATGTCAATTAACTACAAAATTAATTGTTTGAAAATATATTAATATTCGTTTTATTAAGCTGCAATAAATATTTTGCAAGTCCTGTTTATATTGACAATTGATAGCAGTTGTTCCTCTAGTCTTTCATTAAATTCTATTTTAATGATCATGTCTTTAATGCCTTTTGTTTTAAACTGTTAATGGTTTTAAAATGTTTAAAATTAATTCATAAAAATTATAATGTTCCAAATTAAAAAGAAGGATTACGAAGTGACTTCTTATTTAAAGATATAAATATCACATTTCGCGGATCGTAGTCGGATAGTGTTCAGCAACAGTAAATATCGCGTGTCAATAATATCAAGTTTAATAAGTCCTGAATGCTTTATTACTGAGTCTATGTCACGACACGTATAAAAGTTATAAAAATCAAACATTCATAAAACACACTGTTGTTGTTTAACACAAAACAATTATTGTTCACTATAGGCCTAATGAGTACCCACCACAAAGAGTCTTTGACCATGATCACTCGACTTTCGGTCAGTGTAGTAAAGATGTCCCGACCCGCTTTTCATTAACTTTTTATTATGATACTTCTGTATTTACTGATGCTTCTTGTTTTGTACAGCACTATCGTCGACAAAGAATGACCATGCTTTACATTTGATATCATAACAATTTCGACTCGTTATATTCAAATTTTAAAAATAATTTCTTCTTTCATAAATAATTATGACCAATTTCTCCATAGCAAACGTGGAAAATATATATATTTTGTAATTGGAATAATTCTCTCTATAAGCATTAGATATTTACATTTTTAAAAAATCTCAAATTAATTGTGGTAATAAAACTATGTACAACATTAATTTTAAGATTGCTGTAAGTATTATTAGAAAATAATTAGAAAATTAATAATTGTAATTCACTAAATGACGCGTTGTATGGTGTGTGAATAATTATGGAGGTTGTTTTGTTCCAAACAAAAAAATGTTATTTATTTATGATTAAACAAATTTTGAAATAATTTGTGGTTTCCTTTCCTTGTTTATTAGATATTATTAGACTAAAAATCATAAGCGGTACCTGTACACTTAGGTATGTGCTAGTTAATTAGTAGTTAACACAACACCAATGGCAGTACTTAACCTTTTTTTTTTATGTTAGAGGGGGCAGACGAGCAGACGGGTCACCTGATGGAAAGTGACCATCGCCGAACGTCTGCAACTCAGGAGTCACAAACGCGTTGCCGACTTTTTAAGAATGAGTACGCTCTTTTCTTGAAGGTTGTATCGGTCCGGAAATACCGCAGACGACAACCTGTTCTACAGATTGGTTGTGCGATGCAAAAAGTGTTGTGTTGTTTGTGTTTGTTGCTACCTTTCTGTTAGAAACCTTCATTGGTGATACCTCGCAGGTGCTATAGGTGAGGCCGTATGTCGGGCTGAGGCCAACTAAAACATTACGACCGTTGGTGCTGCTATGTCCTCAACGATCCATTAAGCGCTAGGTCGTTGGTGGCACGCGGGCTATATGTACACATCGTCATCCCTTCACAGGAGGCTCTACTGCGAGTTGAAGACATTTCATCCACGCGCTACCAAATACGACCGGCCCCAAGCTCTGGTTAACCTCTAAACTGTTAAATATATTTTTCCTGTCTCAGTTTCGTTTTCCCATTTGCGTCTGGGAGGTAGTCTTGAGAAAACCCTTTGCAATGCAAATTCGTTAATTTTAATAGCACGACAAATAAAATATTTAAATCGTGATAGTAGGTATTAGAAATCTGTTGTGTTACCCCCTGTACCTTACCATGTTTAATATAATCCTATTAATGTCGCTTTGGATATTCGTTCAAGAAAAGAACTTACTGAAGAACCTACTGAAGAACTTCTGAAGAGATCTTAAAAAATGCCAAACAATTTTGAAAAGCCGAAAAAATCCAAAACCTTAAATATAATGACATTAATATACCAAGTTAATAATAATAATGGGCAGTGGTTATCATAGGGAATGTTACAGATTATTTACAGCAGAAAAAGAAAAATTTGTCTGTATATCTACAGAAAAGTCATCTAAAACTACGCTATTGTTCCCTAGCTGTTGTTGAAACTAACAAAATCCTCAGCAATATCACAACCAACTTTAACTTTCAAATAAGTTGAATCCCAATCTTCAACTTCTCAAGAAAATATTGACATCTCTGATTTCGATGTAGGGAACGAAAAATGACGAAGGTCTGGCGGCCACCGGCTCTTAGTCCAATGTCATATACGATGATATCTGTATACCGAGTAAACATATAGTTAAATCGGTACAGGCTCTCCCAGGATACGATAGTTATAAAAAACTATATACTTATTTTTGATAGTGCAAGAAAATTTTACATTTAGAATTAACAAAGAAATCTTAAAGTTTAGTAAAAAATAAATATATGAGCTGTCAGCACTGAAATCTTTACACACCCCATCATCACATCGACAGCCTATGATAGTCCACAGCTGGACATAGGCCGCTCCTTAGAAAGGAGGGTTTGGCCTATTTACCTTCTTTATGAAGTGTTGTTGTCTTGCACTTGCACTTGAAATAAACCCTTTTTTTACGTGTGGAAACCCCCTCGGGCCGTCACCCCACCGGGGTTTGCGGCGGGGTGGTGTGTCGGAATCGGACCGACTGAAGCCACACGGTGTGCCACTCTGCGCCTATAATAGGAGAGAAATAAACCCTATACCAACCCGTCTGGCCAGCGTGGTATAGCAGGCCAAAACCTCCTTTCTAAGGAGAGGCCTATGTCCAGCAGTGGACTATTAAAGGCTGTCGATATTGATGATGATTTGCACTAAGCAACTTTTATTTTCCTAGTATATTGAGAGTGTAAATACCAAACAATTGATTATAATAAAATTTTTTATCTTTTAATTCAAATTGAAAACATAATGGTGTAGAATTTGTGTACATATGTACCCCGTGGTACCCGTTGCCAAGTTAAACGAAAATTACTGATTTTAGTAGTACCTGAAATCAGTAAATTTTGTTGTAAGGTAAGGACCTTCATTTGATTCTTCTTATGAAAACCTCAAACTTTTGGGTAGTGACGAAGATATTGAGGGGACCGCTCATGTCATCTATGAAATGTACCATTAACGCCGACGTTGGATGAAGTCTACCGATCTCCTTCAACAAATACCTATGATACCATTCCTACATTTAACTCTATACAATCATTGCCATCACCATCAGTTATTTTTGCCTATCACACCTTTTACAAGACGTAATACAAAAATTGCATGGTTGCTATACAAGAGAAAAATTAAAGCTAAACATCACTAAACGATTTCCGATATGATATTTATGAAGGTTTACCTTGAGCTGGTAGGATATTATTGCAGGAGAAACAACTGTAGTGGATATAGACGAGCGGAAAAAAATACAGGAATCAAAACCTGCAACTAATAGACCTACGAATAGTATTTACTTTGATAATATTTTTTAAATAATGGCCTGTCCGTGTGTGGTAACGGATTAAGAATATGGAGTGTCACCACCCCTATTCATCCCGAGGGTGGCGTAGGAGCCGAATAAGGGAGCAAACTACGCAGGATAACAGCACCGCAAAGAGGAGGAAAACTTCAAACAACCCTTCTATCCGTCTGGCCAGCGTGGTATAGTAAGCAAAAAACCTTATTTCTAAGAAGAGGCTTATTTATTGCAGTGAA